ACTTCAGTTTCATTCTTGAAGCTAATTCAATGAATTAAAAAAATTTGGCTGCCATATTGGATCCGCCATTTTGAATTTTGTAAAACCAACCTCGAATTCGTAATCAGCATCCCTGGAAACCTCTAAAAAAATGCGTGGGTTTTAAAAATATTATCGTCCCATTCCAGGGGCGTTAAAAAGTAAAATAAACCATTCGATGACTTTTACACAATTTTCAAATCAGAAAAAGCTTTTTAGAATAGGTTAGTAAACATTTTTCAAGGTTAAAAGCGTGACAAAAATTTGGAGTGACAGAAGAAGAAAAATAACAGTAGGAAAAGACACTCTCAAGAGAATCGTCGATGCGTCCAGGTCGAAATTGATTGTTGAGGTTTAAGTCCCTTGTTTAAGTGTGATCAATTTTAAAAGTAAACCTTTCGAGTTGTTGCAAGAGTTTTAATGTGTTTGTGACTGTTAAATCCTGCGGGAACATTTTGTTAACTTTCGTAACGTATGTGGGGATGCCCGCAAAGATACGAGCTTAACTTTTGAAAAAGTAGTTGGTGACATCCAAGAGCTACAAGAGTATCTTTCTTGGACGGTTGCTGAGTAAAATCCAACAGCATTTGTAAAGCAAAATCTGAACTTCCTATTTTTCTGCTTCGGAAATCATTCAATATTGGAGGAAAGTAGATGGAAAAGTTGATCTTATCAAATCTGACCAGTCCATAACATTATTCAGTGTTAGAAAAAATTAAAAAGGCTAAATGATTAAAAATTTGACGATTGAAAAACTTCGGACATGTAAAAACTAACGTAATCTACAGAATAATCTTTTCAAATGAATTTGTAACTATTATAGTTTTAAACCATTTCCAAGGCAGTCGTTTCTTAATTTAATAACTAATTGAGAAGGTTTGTCAAAAACAAAAGTAGTATAAATATTATTTAATTAGAGATTTGTCAATTTCAGAAATGGTTATCGAATAGAAAATTATTTAGTACCGTAGATATTCTCAGAATAGATTTAACAGTCACAAACAAATTAACAGTTTCTCAATAACTCGAAAGGTTTACTTTTATAATTTGATAACACTTAAATAATACAAAGATTCAAAAACTTACAGAAATAGATTTAATATTGACAAAATTTTTTCTACTTTTTTGTTACTATTGCACATTCATTAAACTTGAATATTTGTATTCGTATAAAACTCAATTTTATTTCCCCTAAATAATTAAATTATATCGAAAATGAGAGTTTATAATTTCTCCAATTATTGCACTTTGATTGAGTCTAAAATTAATTTTTTTAAATTAAAATTTATTCATCAATAGAGTGATATTTCCTTTTTTTGTAATAACTGCAATGAATAAATTGGGTTCCGAAATTTTAACTGGTGAACTACGATGATTTGAATGTTCCAGCAGCATTAGGTTGACTAACCTGATACGCTAAAAAAACAATTCAACACAAAATAAACTCTTGATTTCAATTTTACACCGAAAGGAAAAAACAAAATTGATTTGCAGAAGTTATTTCAGATTCTAGATATATTTTCTGTAATTGAAATGAATCGATCCTCGGATACCGAATCGTAAATCTCCAGATTGGATACAAAAGTGTGGACAGTGGTGGTATGGAGAATATCCAAAGAATTGTCCCGCTCAATATATATATATATATGTATAATAGAAAATTTAATAACACTAAAAATAATCTTTTTTGTCATCTAATTTTGTCTCTGTGTTAATAAATTGAAAAATAAAATTTATACATTTGGGTTCAAAAAGGATTTTCTCCATATATCAATATTATGAATTAACAATTCTGTAATATAAATTCTTATCTTACGTGTTTCGGTCGATGTTCATAAGATATAAAGAAAAATGCTTCTTTATATTATACTAGACAACTTTGGAATAAAGTGGCAATCTGATTTATTACTTTAAATCATATTCTCTGTTTATTCCGAATGCAACGCAGCTGAAGGAAAATTTGTCGATTTGTAACTGATTTCAGAGAATCAACAATATTTTTGAATATTCTTTAACCAGAGTTTTTGATAGCATAAAAAAACACGTTTAATACAAATCTGAAGTCAAATTTCCAAAATTAAAAATGTCGGATGCAATATGGCGAATAAATATTTTTTAAATTTAACAATTTCCATAAAACATCGTTTCAGCGAGTTTTTTGGGTTGCTGATTAGAAATCTAATGTCAGATTTCAGAAATTCAAAACGAAAAATTTTCTTGCTTTATATCAATGAAATTACGGACTTTACAAACTTTTTTTTTAAAATAATGGCTTTTACGAACTTTAAATAAATTTACGGAATTTTACGGGATTTACGGACCTAGTTCGTAATATAGCTGAATTATTGTACTTATTCAAATTATTTATTTTTTGTTCCATGAAAAATTGCTAAATTAAAATAATAATAAATAACCTGATTGTGTGTAAAAATTGTTCATATTTTGAAAGTTATGAATTTTGATAAACAATAGACAATTTTAGTTCACTTTAAGTTCGTAAAGAAATTATGTTAAATAATATAAATAATTAATTTGATGTTTTAAGTTGAATATTTCTGAAGAGAAGTAGAGTAATCCGATCAAAAAATATTTATTTTTGTTGATTTGACAGGAAATTTACGAAAAAGAGTTTTTTCCATAAAAATGAGGGGATGGAATGATAAAAATAAACAATCAACTATCTATTGTTCAAACGTATCAATATCACTAGAACTTAGTGGATTTCTCCGGGACATGAAAGGGATACTTTTGTATTAAGCACCTCAATTGTTTAAGTGCTATCTCATTGTGTTAAGAGAAAAAGAACTTTATTTTGTAAGGACATAGAAAACTGAGTGTTATTTTTGTTGTGGGTAATTTTAAATATGGTAAACATTCCACTTTTTTCTTTCTTTCGTGCAACTTACTATATGTACATACAGGTTAAACAAAGCCTGTATTTATACCCAAAAGAATTTAGAAAACAAAATATTTATCTTATTTAATAACAAATTCAATTTTCATGGTGAAAATTTTATCTGCTGGACTGGATAAAATTAAAAATTTCTCCAATTTTCGGTGTGTAGATAACACTTTCGAGCTAAAATTTGTAACAGGGACTTTTAACATCGTATTCAGTATAAATACAGGTTGTTAACTACTTATTTTGACCTGTATGACCAGATGATAAAGTACTATATTTCTTAAAGCATAATTTAGGATTTGGTATTTTTCCATACTAGTTAAAAGTTCTTTTAAATGTAGGTACTATAAGCTAGATAGAAACTATTCATTTTAAAACTAAGGGTGGATTCCACGTCAGTTCAACACACTTATTTTCATGATTTGTTGGGATTTGTTATAGCACTTTAAAAAAAAAGACAAAAATTTTGAAAATGCCATATTTTTGGTAATTTTCAAAATTTTGAAAAAATATTTGGTGGAGTTGTTTATCACTATAAAAGTAATAAATTTACAAAAGTACAGCCAAATCCCAACAAGTCATGAAAATAAGTGTGTTGAACTGACGTGGAATCCACCTAAGATAAGGCGACGAAACTCGCAATTTAGAAGTGAAAAGGGATGGTATAATGTAAGAGAGAAAAAAATGACGATTTAATAGGTATTCTCGAGAGAATTGTCGGTGTGTCCAGACATGAATTTTTTACTCTGATTGAATTACCTCTATAAAGCTCTGACCACCTAGATCATATATGTCGATGGTAATTATAATCCTAGTGGATCAATTATTTTAAAGCTTATGTAATTATGGGAAACGCTCACGAGTCAAGTTAAAGGATTTCGGAACGCATGGTACTATTTTTAACAAATGAAGCATTCAGTGCTGTCAAATAATGCTCAAGAATTTCCCTAGGGTGGACACCTTGAGGCCCTCTACCCTAATATTAATTGAAATGAATAAATATTTGCTATCACTTTTTTATTGATTTGAAAGATAGTGTCAATACATTCCAACATATTTAAACCAATTTTTAGAGCAAACTTGATTTTTAGTCAACTTAAAATATTTATTTAAAATTGTTAAATACTCTTTTTTAAAACTTTATCTTCAAGTTATACAGCGACATTAAATAACTTCTTTATGAAAGTAAAATTTTTTTTTTTGTGAAAATTCTCTGTAAAACCGGAAACTTTTTGGTGTTGGGAATTAGTTGTTTCTTTTTTTAACATACATTCAGTGTAGAATTTTTTTGCTAGTAATCTAACAACACATCCTTTTACTTTTGTGGCTGCTGTGCTAGTACGTAGGCTTTGCAACTAGTAGTGGGGTGAAGGAAGAAGGGAATTTGAAAAAGTAGGCAAGCAACGCATCTCCTTGATGTATTGAATAAAAGCTCATCTCGGTGTTGATGTTTCTTTTTAGTGCATGCAACTGTGGAGCGAGAAATTTATGTTTGTTACATGCTATGCGTCCAATGTCATCCTAAAAGGAATGAGAATTTTCATATTTATTTCCCTTTTTATGGTAAACGGAGTTCTATTTCTTTCCCTCACTTTTACTTCTAATTAACTACTCAGAAAAAGTACATTCTATGTAAATGGAGAATGTTTTTTCTTAATTTTAACAGAAATACCTTGAGTCTTACAAATAACGGTTCTTTTCATGTGATGAATTTTATTTTAAACCAGCAACAATTCGCGCGCGGCTTACTTCTTACTCACTTTTTTTAAAAATAAAATTAGCAATTTTTAAAAATAATAGAATGCAAAAATTTGTAATACAAATTTTTTTTTCATAAAAATTGAAAACATACGCAAAAACTAACTTCAAAGTGTACATACAAAAAAATGAGAGAATGAAATACGAAGATTATTATTATTATCCTAAAGAGAAGAAAATGTACAAAATAACAATGAATACACATTATAGGTTCACTTCTCTGACACCTAAGTATAGGTTGTTGCAATTTTAACAAATGTGATATGTAACAGTTATAGATTTTTTTCCTAAATGTACTTAATGAACGACATTGGATACGTACCTTGGGATGTTCACGAACTGGCACCAAAACCTTGACGGCAACTCTTATTGGCTTCTCACGATAGATGTCCACGTACTTTTGGTCCCTGAGAGGTTTTCCCATAGCCTGGGTCTTCTGAATCTCTGTAACATAAAGTAGATTCGTTCCTATTTATCGACTGTCGAATCTAAGAGCAATAGTCCCCCCAGAGTCATATATACTTATACTAGACAATGGCGAAACCTATCCAGCAGGTAAACAAGATAAGAAATACAGATACGGATGTGTTGGTGAAAAAAAAACTTTTCAGGAAGTTGCTTCTGCATATTTATTGGGACACCATACATCTAATACATCTAAAAACTCGTTCACTTGGTAAAAAATTAATCAGATTTATAGTTTTTTTTATCAAAAACATATTTGTACATTATAGATTTTTGATTGCTAAATTTTATACCTTTCGACAATTTGCTCGAGAGCTTAAGAATTAAATGAATAATTTTACAACTTTAAGAATTTCCTTTTTTTCTGACACTTTGTTAAGCAGCGATTTCTATTCCTTATTATTTTGAATTGATTACTCAAAAACTATAGTAGTCAATTTTTTCCAATTACTTTATAAGATTAAGGACAATATACTTCAAGATCTTTCGGACCGACGTGATAAAATAAATCCTTAATTCAGAAGAGATAATACCTATTTTTTTAATTTGCAAACTGAATCCTCTTTTGGCATTTTTTTCGTATTCTTCTCACAAACTTCAAGAGAGTGAAACGGGAAACGTCTTATAGATTTTGTAAAACGAAAGTTGAAGAGTATTCAGAAGATGAAAAATTAACAAATATTTCGTTGCTATCAGAGATTAATTTCTAAATAAAGAACAGTACTCGACCCTTTCTTTTGTCATCTTTCAGAAAAGAAACACTGACAATCAAAACCCTTTAGAAACTTGAATATTAAATAAATCTAATTTTAGGGTTGCCACAAAAATTAATTTTATTTTTCCCTGATTTCTAGACAAAATTTCTTATTTTTCCATAGGAATTAAGATTTTCAAAAAATTTCAAATTCAAACCTTTATGAAATTCAACAACTTTTAAAAATATCTTCACGTTTTATAATAATTTAAATTTCCATAAAATTTTTCCAAAAAATTAAATTATTTACAAAAATTTTAATAAAATCCTTCGCGAGAATTCAATTATTTTTACAAGTAATAAAAATTTTCACATGAATTCAATTATTTAAAAAAACTGTAATAAAAATTCGTTGCAAGAATTCAAATATTTTCATAAATAATAAAATTCTTCACAGGATTTCAATTATTTTTAATACAATTTAAAATAAATTCCTCGAAAAATATAATTATTTTCAAACATTTTTTGCAAGAATTCAACTGCATTTCACAAATAATGAAATTCTTCGCTGAAATTCAAATATTTTCGAAATCTACTATTTTAATAAAATTTCTCAAACGAATTCAATTATTAAAAAAAAAATCTAATAAAATTCATTCATAAATAATAAAAATATTCACAGGATTTTAATTATTTTCATAAAATAAATAATAAAATTCTTCGCAAAAATTCAATTATTTTCATAAATAATAAGATTTCAATTAAAATTAAAATCAAATTCACAAGATTTTAAATTATTTAAAAGAAATGTAATAAAATTTGTTGCGAGAATTCAATTATTTTCATAAATAATAAAATTTTTCATAGGATTTCAATTATTTAAAAAAATTTAATAAAAATTCTTTGCAAGAATTCAATTATTCTACTAAATAATAAAATTCTTCATAGGATTTCAATTATTTTTAATACAATTTTAAGAAAATTCATCAAAAAATGTAAATTATTTTCTAAAATTTTAACTGAAATTCATATTTATTCAATTTCTATTAGAAAATTCTACGAGAATTAAATTATTTAAATACAAAAATAAATAATTTATTGAATAATTGAATCATTCTTAAAATTGAACTTTTATAAAAAATTTTATCAACAAACTTTTCAATAATTAAATTTCTATTGACGAATTTTAATCAAATTTTTAAAAATAATTTTATTTTTCGAGAAATTCGATTAAAATTTTATTAAAAATAATTAAATCTCTGTAAAAAATTTTGATTATTTATGAAAATAATGGAATTATTGCGAAGAAATTTATAAAAAATTTGTAATTAATTGAATTCCTATGAAATTTTTATTATTTATGAAGATAAGTAAATGTTTGCATATAATTTTTGACATGAAATTTATTAAAATTTTTGAAAATAATTGAATTCTGAAAAAAAAATTTATTATTTATAAAGATAATTGAAAATTTTGATTATTCAAAAATTCTTCAACTAAATATTTATAGAAAACAAAAACTTGAAATAATTTCAAAAATAAATTCAATTAAACTTTTTGAAAAAAATTAATTCTACAGAATTGTAAGTTAAAAGAATGAAAAATTCAAATTTTTAAAGACTTCGATTTGAAACTTTTCAAAATTCAATTATTTTTAAAAATTCAAGCTATAATGCTTTTTATATTCAATTAATATCTAAAATTTTAACTGAAATTCAGTTTTAAATCAAGTTTTGTTAGAAAATTCTACGAGATTTCAATTATTTAAATACAAAAATAAATAATTCTATTATAATTGAATATTTCTTAAAATTGAATTCTCATAAAGAATTTTATTAACATAATTGAATTTTTTTGACGAATTTGAATAAAATTTTCAAAAATAATTACATTTGTCGAAGAATTCGATTAAAATTGTATTAAAAATAATTAAAACTCTATGGGTATCATTATTTATGAAAATAATTAAATCTCTGTAAAAGAATTTTATTATTTATGAAAATAATTGAAACTTTCCTTAGAATTTTATCAACATTTTTCTAATTAATTGAATTCTTTTAAAAAATTTTATTAAAATAGTAGATATTGAAAATCATTGAATTGAGGAAAATTGTTGAAAATATTGAAAGTTTTGCCAAGAACTCTTGGCATTTTTGAAATTTTTGAAAATAATTGAATTTTCGAGAAGAATTTTATTATTTTTAAAAATAATTGAATATTCTGACAAGAATTTTTTTTAAAGTTTTGAGCATAATTAAATTCCTGCGAAGAATTTTCTTACTTTTAAAAATAATTGAATTTCTGCAATCATTTGTAACTTCTTCAAAATTAATTTTTTTTCAGTACTTTAATAAAAAAAATCCCTGAGTTTTCCCTGATAAATTCTTCTTTTCCGTGAATTTCCTTATTTTCCTGCTTGTAGCAACCCTGTTTATATGAAATAAATTTAATTTGTGGTATTTTTAAATATTTATTTCAGATTTTTAATTTTAAATAATTGCTTGATCTAGATTTATAATTTATATCGTCTACTACTTTCTGTTCCAATATAGCTTTACGATTCAACTGATGAACAATAAAATTTAATTCTTTAAAAAAATAATGAAGTAATCTATCCTTTTCCCTTATTTAAATTCCACTGTTTTTCCAACTATAAATTATAATTAAAATAGAATGCCCCTAATTGTTGTTTTGTTAAACACAAAGCACTCGAGGAAATCGTAAGAAGATAAGTAATTGCCAAGAGTTTAGAATTACGAACGTAGGGACACTATAGAGTATCCTTTCAAACATATTGTACAGGGGAAAATCCCTTCTTCCTTTAAGCGAGAATTTTTAAAGACGCGCTGCAATTGTAAATTATAGAAATAAGGAAACACATTAAGAAATAAGAGCTTCACGTTACTTTTGTTATTTATCCTGTAGAAAATTACTTAATGGTCTTTTATTATTTAGAAAGGAAATTCGGAAATTTAATAAGAAAGTCAAATTATAAAAATGGTCCCGAAGCTAAAAATTTGCTTCGGCAAATTTAAAATTTAAAAAAAAAAAAAAAAAAATTAAATTTGTAGATATAGAAATAGAAATCAAAAATAGAATTTTCTCAAGTTTCCTTTGGACATCTTTCAATGATCGAATTTAGCTCTAAATTAATTAACTGATTTTAATATTTAATTCAAATTCCATTCCATCAGTAAAATGAAACTAGTTTATAAAAAGCTTTACCTTATAGAAGTGCTGAATGTCTTTAAAGGGAGAAATATTAAATATAAATTAATGAATAATATAATTTTACACTAAAAATAAAATATTAAAAATTTAAAGATAAAGCACAGTGTTTTATTAATTAAAAATATTGTCTACTTAGTTCAAGGAATTAATTTTCATTTTAAATATTTCTTCTTAAGACAATTTTTACAATGTTTGATAAACTCCGTTTAATTGAAAAATATATATATTTTTTTCATACAAATTTATTCTTTTAGGGCAAATGAAAAATAGGTAGGTGAAGTTCACAACGTTTACGATCAACGAATTTAAAGAAAATAGAAGTATAAAAAGTTAATATGTAATGAAATGTATTAAAATATATTTCCTCCAACGCGCGAAATTTTTTTTTTTGAAATCCTTTTGCATTGAGCCAAGATTACAAAAAAAAAATTTGACCCCAATCCCAGTGGGGGAACCACCCCATTTGCCTCCCCCCATGTAATAAAAATTATTAAAAAATACATTTTTCGCAACGCGCGAAATTTTCTTTTTGGAAATCCTTCTACATTGAGCCAAGATTACAAACAAAAAATTTGACCCGAATCCGAGTGGGGGAACCACCCCATTTGCCTCCCCCCATGTAATAAAAATTATTAAAAAATACATTTTTCGCAACGCGCGAAATTTTCTTTTTGGAAATCATTTTACATTGAGCCAAGATTATAAACAAAAAATTTGACCCGAATCCGAATTGGGGAACCACCCCATTTTCCTCCCCCCATGTAATAAAAATTATTAAAAAATACATTTTTCGCAACGCGCGAAATTTTCTTTCTGGAAATCATTTTACATTGAGACAAGATTACAAACAAAAAATTTGATCCAAATCGAAGTGGGGGAACCACCGCATTTGCCTCCCCCTATGTAATAAAAATTATTAAAAAATACATTTTTCGCAACGCGCGAAATTTTTTTTTTTGAAATCCTTTTGCATTGAGCCAAGATTACAAAAAAAAAATTTGACCCCAATCCCAGTGGGGGAACCACCCCATTTGCCTCCCCCCATGTAATAAAA